CCCCCTTTCCCCCTCGTTTTCCTTGAAGAAACATCTGCTTCTGCTAAATCTGCAATTGATGTAGATACTAAAAAAAAAAAAGAAGACAAATTACTTAATTTTTTTAAAAAGATGAAATGATAAATCTTTTAATATGCTATCTGTGTATATTACCTAATCGTGACTAACAGGTTTAATCGTTTTCGCTGCTGAATTTATTTTCATTTATTGAAGTGCGTATTTCATTCCAGCGACGTGAAAAAATTAATTCGAAATGTCGAATTAATTCCAGATGAGTTTACTTTTAATATATTCAGAAGATGTAAATCCAATTCTTGCATGATGTTAACTTCACAATTTACCAGCAATTTTTATGCGTGAAAATTGTTTTATCTTGTTTCTTGTTATCTAATTCTTCTTGAGGCAATTTTATTACTTAAGTTAATTAATTTCGAGAATTTAAATCTCGTCAGAAACTAAAATGTAAAAAACTGCAATGTGAATTGACAATAAATAGTTCATTGAAATGACAATCGTAAGAATTACTTTTGATTAATATCAAATTTGAATTTTTGATAACTCGATGACACTGGATATTTGATAATTGTTTTTAATTGACATTAAATTTTACTATTTAATAACTTTGCATCTACATAGTAATGTACATTTCACATTTAATAATTTGATTTTACATTACATTTAATAATTTAATTTAATTTTAATTTATATTTAATTTTACATTTACACAATACATTTTACATTTAATTTCAATAATTCACTACAACTTTTTAACGTTATTTCAATAAATATGTTAAATACATTAACACCAATCATCATTAGAGATACGTTACATCGTTAAAACAATAAGAACAAAATGTAATTTTTTAATCTACTTAACACAATAGGATTTCCTTAACTAAATTAAATTATAAATATCTGTTACAAGAGTTATAACTCTCTAATTATAAGTGTTCACTTGAACACTTCGTGCAATTCCATTAAAAGGATGATATTTTTATTACAACTTATGAATATTTTTCTACTGTTGAGTCTCTACATTTTCAAGTTTTGTTTTCATCTTTCAATAAATGCATATGTTTATAAAGCTGATGTTTTATAAAATCTGTATAAACTTTTTCAACGTGTATTTCAATTATTTTAAAATTTCAATAATGAACATTTTTATATTTAAAGTCAATATAATTATGATATTAACTACATTCTTATAGTTAACTATTTTTTTATTTATCATTCAATTAAGTATCTTTTTTATCAATATCTACTAATATATTATCTATAAAATGTATATGTTAAAATTAAATTAATTGATTTAAATTTTATTTTGCAATAATTTAATACTTGCTTATTGTAATAATTTAAAAGTGTCCAAATAATTATACGTAAATAGTATTTTGTTATTCTTCTAAGGAAAGACCAGAAACAAGCAGGAAACAATTATCTAGTTATCACAAGCAATGTCTAGTGCATTTAAAACGAGTTTGGAATAATGTCAATGTTATTCTCTTGTTCACCTAAAAGGAAAGTGCAATTAAACAGCTGATAATGCGTAACTTTCCATTTTAGTAACATCAATTAAGTTAATTGTGGTTATTTGCAACTACTGACTGCAATGAAACAAAATAATTATATTGTTTATATAAGACTGATGGACTGAAACTTAAATTCATATTTTTCACTTCATTTCATTTATCAGAAAATAATAAATATAAATAAATAATAAATATAAATAAATAAAAATATAAATAAATATGAGTCGGGACGAAAAGGTAAAGATCGACGTTATTGATCAATTTTTAATTAGATAAAAATAGTTTTTTTAATTATTACTGTGTGATATAGATTTGACTTCAAAATAATTGAAGAAATAACTATTAAACTGCGAATTTTTATATATATGTAATTTAGGAGAAATTTAAAAATGCATAAATGCACAAAATACACACATATAAATGCGTAGTGCAAATTTATTACTTTTTATAACATTTGATACATAGAATAATTTTTTCATGAATTTTTCATTTTCTCAAAAATATGATTTTGGATAAAAACTCACAATTAAACTTAATTGCTATAATACCTCATACTTGTAGATATATTTCTGAACATAAGTCAAAATTATTGATTGCTTTTTTTTTGCGATTATATAAATATATATAATATAATCCGATTTACAAATCTATACTGGTTCAAAGCCTTTCAATAAAAAGAAAAAAAAATGTATTATAATACTTACAAAACAATTTTTTTTAGACGATAGCTTATATTACTTTGACTAAAATTTGATTTATATTTTGTCTCAACTCATCAGAAACGGGACATATGTCAGTTTTTATCACTCTCCTGCTCTCCAGACAGTTTTCATTGCAATAACATTGAAATTTAAAATTCTTCCAGACCACGCTACTATTGGTAGCTTCTACATATTCAAAACCAGCGCCAGAACCACCCAGCTCGTACTTCCCTCCATCGAGTGGTGCCAGCTTCTCAAGCGGATCCGGTAGTTATGGTCCACCGTCGCTTCCGGATCGTTATGGGCCACCCCAACAACAACCTGTCGTCCACAAACACGTTTACGTTCACGTGCCACCTCCAGAAGCTCCTGAATATAAACCGCCGAAATACATTCCACCCGCAGCACCACCACAGAAACATTACAAAATCGTATTCATAAAGGCGCCAACTCCACCGACGCCAACAGCACCAGCTCTACCACCATTGCCACCACAAGATGAAGAAAAAACTTTGATCTACGTGCTTGTGAAGAAGCCGGAAGAGGCGCCAGAAGTGGTATTACCGACTCAAGCACCAACGCAACCCAGCAAACCGGAAGTCTACTTCATCCGATACAAGACCCAGGTAAAGTACATTTAATTCTTATCCGTTTTTTTTTTCAATTTAATTTATTGTCAGATTCATACAATGACAAAATTCAAGCTTCGATGAAACGATAAATTTACAGATTTTATTAACCCCTTGCCTCACGATTTTCAGTCCAATCTTTTTGAATCACTCATCACTTTTTGACTTTTCGAGTCGAGCATCACTCATTGTATTGTAACATTTTACATATTATTGTTTTACATACAGAGTACTGAAACATTATTTACAGTTTGTACTTACTGATATTCAATCTAAAGAAATTGAATTTGAAATTCGAATTGAAATTTCGTAGGACTGCAATTTACTTTTTCTTACTTGTTTAGAGTCTCGTTTTCAAGAAATTAGAATCTGAATGCATTTAGTTAAAAATTGGCCTACTAAACGTATATTTGGTAGAATTTAAAACTGAGATTTCTCAAAAATGAAACGTCTTGTGGAAAAATTGTATTGTACACTTTTAACTCATTTTCACAGATAGAATAATTTCGTTTTCAGTCAGTTCAGAATTAATTAAATTCAAGTAATAAATTTTCGAACTTGATTTTGTTGAAAACGAAACTTTAAATGAAAAACATTTATTCTTTATTTTCAATTTATGTTTTCATGTAGAATCATTCTTTTCTTAATTGTATCTTAATTACTGGAATGTCCTATATAAATATGTCATTATATCACTTGAGAAAATAAAGATTTATTGTTAGAAAATAATATGTGAATATTGTTGCAATTTGTCTGTCAGTATTAAAATTACAAGTATTTTAAATTTAATATATTAATTTATTATAAAATTTCTTTTTCCTTATGTTTACAATATTGCAAAAATTATCTAATGACACAAAAATTTAATAAAAGTTTAGACATGAAGGATTAAAGCAAAATGATATCACATTATTATAAATATAATTTTAAAATGCATATTTATTATAACAACTGAGTTTTCAAAGAATCTGATCAATAATTATAATCAATAATTATATGAATATTATACGAATAATGATTATATGAATATTATATGAATATTACGAATAATTATTATGAATATTAAAATAAACAATATCAAATTACATATTTTATAAACTAAATTCACATTTACTTTCATAAAGAAAATACACAGAGTTATAAAAAAAAATTAACAGTATTGTAACACTAACTCATATTTAATTAGAATTAGTATATAACATCATATTATTGAGAAAAATATTAAATATTAAATCATATCAAATTAAATTACATCAAACAGCTATTATTATCAAATATTATTGAAAAAAATTAAAAATAAAATTTTAATAATTAAACAAATAAATAATAATTAAGCTTCCTAAAACATGTTGTAAAATACTACAATCTTTTTTATATTTTTATGTTATAGAAGGAACAACAAAATGCAGAATATGGACCTCCACCACAGTCACTCCCTTCGGATAATTATGGTCCACCATCAAGCTCTGGCGGTCCTTATTAAATAATATTTATTTAAGGAACCTCTTTGTATAAAATACTCAAACCCACGAACCTCGTGAATTATAGAGATTTTATTCGTCAAGAATGCTCATTATCTATGAGATTTTGAGAAAACCAATGTGTAAGTAGTGTGATTACTGCCACAGAATTTTGTGAATTTCACGATTAGACGCTGTGTCTATTTGTTTCTGCAGATAATAGCATACTGAAAGCATCATTTTAATATTAGTATCATGAAATTTATTAGTATCAGAAGTCGAGAAAAAAATTTATGCATAATACTTACATTAATTAATAAATCTATTAATTGTTCAAATTATTTTGAAAAGAATTTGAAATATATTAAATTATATATTAAAAGTCTTTTGTTGTGTATATCAAAAAATCTTTCATGCAGATTATTTTGCAATATTTTAACACAATTTACAAGAAATTATTAAATAGAAATAGAAATATGAAAGTTAAATTTGGGTGATTAATGCGAATGAAGAATTAATGTGATTGTAACAAATGTATGTATATTTTAATAAAACTATTTGTACTTTTGTAAAAGGTTTCATATCATTATTTTTACTTCAGTTCCTCTTCAAAAATTATATTCAATTGATATATATTTGATCGCAAAGGAGCTAAATAAGACACAAAAATCTAATTTAATATAAATTTTATTTGAAATAGAATACAAAAGGATAACAAACAATGATATGGTTTACAATTCTGAGTTTATAATTTTGACATACAAATATATGAAAAAATGATTTCATTTAAGAAAAATACTTTCGTAAACAAATTGCTTCAAATACAATGGAAAAATATTTTCAATTCGCTTGGTATATCTGTAATAAAATTGTAAAGTATAATTAATGTTATAACTTTTGTTGCAAAACTCAGTGTTGCTTTAAACGATCTATAAAAATATCTCGCAGAGGTTGTCCCGAACAATTATAACTTTTTAAAAAATTGCTTAAATATTTTATTTTCTTTGGATAAAAGTATTTACTGATTCTTTTTCCTCTTTCACTTACGATACATTAAATTGAGCGATAAGTTCATTTGTTCATTCATTTTCTGGCAAGATAAATATGCATAATTAAAGATTTATCGTCTTTTATCATTTAGATTATTTGTTTATCCTATTATTATGAAACAAAACCCAGCTTAGAGATTCCTTCAATTATTACATAAATTATTTACATAAGTAGAGTTCTATAGTAAGACCTTTTTCCATTATAAAAGGATTTAAATATATGTTTCCAGAATTCAACAGAAGTAGAATTCAAAATGAAATAATTTCCAAATTGCAGTATTAACATTATTATAGTAAAACATAACTATCTTTTTTTCATTCATTCAATTGCCTATAAATAATTTAATTATAAGCAATAGTCATAAACAACAACATAATTGTTTGATTTTCTGATAAAAGCTCACAATAGAATCACATATTTTCACATATTTTTATTACTATGATTGTTACTACTATGATTTAGATCAATATTTTTTCCTTTAACCATTATTTTCCAATTAATTACTTTACTGGCAAATTTTCAATCTTTTATCAAAACTGAAATCATATTTAAAATATAAAAAACTGAGATATTAAATAAGAAACTGTATTGTGGTAAATACTTGACATTCTATAATATTTCTAATCTTTTTTAATCAGCATCCACAAGTATTCTATCCACATCCTTATATTTCTTCTTTAAATAGAAATTATTCACAAGGATGTTGCTTTGTTTTTCCAAAAATATAGCAGAGTAAAAACTCATCATCAGAAAGACTTGACTTATTACATGTTACATATTTACTAAATTATTCTTAGAAAATTTATCTTGATATGTTTAATTATATTCTTCGAAGCTCATATCATTTGATGAATATTAAAAAACATATTCCAACGTTTCATTAACTGGTTTAACTTAATTTAATAGAGGAAGTCCACTAGATCCAGTAGAAGAGAAACTTTTAGCAATTTTTTTTATATCCAAGATATTTTTAATACCTTGATGAAACGTAGGAATATTTGTTTTAAAGTGAAAATTGCAACAATCGCTACAAATCTTACATCTCTAAAAACGAACTTATTACTCAATCTAATATTTATCTTCTGCTTTAATTTTCTTATAACTAAACTTAATTCATACAATATTATGCGAGAAGAAATTAATATTAAAATGTCGTTTGCCTTTTTAATTTTATAAAGATTTTTGTAAAGACTTTATCAATTAAATTTATCAATACGTACTTCTATTCGTTTAATACTTCCATGCCTCACTATTTTCGTGTAACTTTTCATTCAAACCATATGTAGTATACTTACATATCATACATAGTATAGTTACTTAACAACAAAGATAACAAATTCAACTTGTATCGAAAATGGGCTGGCATGGAACGTTTTAGGCTTGGTGTAAACAAGTAGTTTACATTAATTTAATCACTATGGTAGCTAATAATTAATATAATAAAAAAATGTATTTTTTTCACATATTTCATTCGGAATACATGCGCAAATTTTAATTTCGTATAGATCTTCATAAAATGCGTGGCAAATTTGTCATAAATCTCATTTACACCTAGCCGTACACGTAAGTGCTAGATAATACGATCATCTCTCGCTTCAATTTGACAAATACTGAATTAATATTGAAATAAACTCATCATTAACTCTTTCAAGCGTCATCGCACAAATTAATACTTCTCGTATACATATATTTTTTGATTAGGACTTTGGCACTCAAAGGGTTATAAATCAAACATGTTTAATAATATACAGATACAGTAATCATGCATATTAATTATGTAAAATCTACAATATATTCAATTATAATTATAATTTAACCAAAAAAAAAAATTCATTTTAATAACATAACGGTAATTTTTAAATTAATTAAACATCAGTTCAACTAATTGGTATAATCAATATCATGCTTTCTGATATTTCATTGTTTAAATTCCCCATATTTACGAAAAACAATAATTATGAAAATGTTTACTGCTTACATTATGATTAAAAGTAATATTGAGCACAATTTTATCAATTAAAAACAAATACATTTTCTTCAAATGCACTTTTAAGTATTTTGTACATATTAAAAACCTTATAAAAACAGTATGTTATAATTCAAAAATGAATTCTATCTTTTAATCAAAGAAAGTGATATTTTCCTTATGTTTAATGTACAATATCACATAAAATCAAACTGAAGTTACATCACTTGTATTTTTAAGTAATATTAAGTATCTGTTTCATTTATTAATATCAAATATAACGTATATTATAAATACTTTCTAAAAGTAAAATGTTTCCTTAAATATCTAAAATGAATATATAGAAATTCATTGCCTCGTTTAAACCTTATTTTTAGATTTTCAAATATTAAGTTTTGTTAATTAAAAACGATTGAGATTTGCTCTTCTTTTCAAAAAAAAAAGAAGAAAAGAAAATTCAATAAGTATAAATAATTCTTTATTTCTAAAAAAAAATTTTAATATAAATTTTTTTTCGTTTTTACGAAAATTGCAATCCTCTGTAACATCCATACAAAATTTATTGTATATTTTATTATCGTAATTAACGCTCTTCAAAAATAGTTTGTAAATATTCTTGTACTTTAACAAGTTATGTGCGATTAAAGACAAAGTATTTCTTATTATTCCTTATTTCCCATTCCCTGTTTCCCATTTCCCCCTCTTTTTTTTAATATCATGAATAAAACAATAAAACTTTTGTAAAATTTTGTTATATTACTCAAGTTTCTTGGGACGTTTTTTAAAAAGAAATGTCTTGATGAGTATAGAAATAAAAGGATAGGACAAATATATTATATGACCACAATAATAAACGGAAGAATAAACCTGATGATAACGAGGGTAAGATAAAAATATAAAACAAATGAGACTATAACCCATAAAAACAAATGTGTGCATCATCATTAGAATCCTTATAAGTATTTGAAGTGCTGGATGACTGTCTAAGAAACTTTGTAATTTCTGCTGCTTCGTCAATATTTGAGTCAACTAAAAAAATTAACAAAAAATTTCATTCACCGTAATAGCAAATGATTCATTAATTACTTTAATAATAGTTTTATTAATTGAATAATGACTTACTTAACATAATCTATCTATCATAAATTACATTTTAAGAAAAAATAATAACACTAATATTAATTCTATCAACAATAAACATAATTTGTAACTACTTATAATAATAACATTTGAATTTATGAGTTATGAAATCTTTAAGTAAGTCATTAAACAATCTTTTGTTTGATCATCATTTAAATAAATAACCAATTGTTTCATCATTGCATGAATCAAGTGACGTATAAAAGATATCAAACTTACATCTTTCTCAGCGAACATGATCATAAATTCAAGGAAGAAGCATAAATAATATCCTGAATGAAATCCATGCCATACTGCGAGGAAAGCCAGAGTGAAAAACTGGCTATATATTTTCGAACCCAAGAATTTCAACCTCTTGTAAATATATTCCGCGCACCAAGTATTGGTATTTATATTGAATGACAAAATGTAATCATTAAAATGACTTGCTGTTTCAAATTTCAACAACTTCACATTCTCACAACCGTTCCACAACGGACGACCATCCTTATTCTTTCTATTATATGTCAAACCAAAAGTTGTACAAACCTGAAATAAAAATTATTATATATCTTATGATACAGAAACAAACGATAATAAGTAATTGTAGACATTGTTTGATTATAAATTATTCATTGATATACAATATATATTTATAATTATATAATTTCATATTATATAAAAGTTAAAAAAATAATTTATAAAATTATTAAGATAAGGATAGATTAATAATTTATCAATAAAATAATTTATTTATTTACTTGTATATATGCATGCTTTGCTTACCCCTTCAGCTAACAACCAGCAACAAATGTATTTGTAAAGATTGATATGGCCCCAGAAGCCAATTGTGAAAAGACGTTTAAAAAATGTCTGTTCCTGGAATTCTGCACTCAATAGATATTGATTGGGAATGTATGAAGTCCCTAATTGATAGAATATCAAGTATATGAATCCGAGGAACATTCGAGAAATACCAGGAATAATGCAATCATGAAGTTTAATTTCTTCCTTCACAGAATTCACAGAATTCTAAAAATACGAAAAATTAATTACTCCTTTTTCTGTAACTTGTATAACTTAATATTCTATGACTAAATTTTAGTGGTATTATATAAAACCTGTCATGAAATGATCTCGATATATTATTAAGATATATTATCTCTAGTTATTAACATATGAGAGCATAACAAAAATATAAAGTAACAATGGATTCATCTTTTCTTCAATACAATATGAGAACAATTGACATTTAATTTTGTTTTATTTCAAAACGTTATCTATATCCATGAGTACAAAGTTAACATCAATGAGGAACAAAGTCTATCAAATTTTCTTACTAATTTCGTTTTAGCATTCGAAATGCATTAAAAATTCTTTGTATTAACATTAGAACAACTGAATCTGTATGATTGATTTCAGATTTTCCTTCTCTTATAATTATTTAAAAGATACAAGTATTTTTATCGAAATTAACATTGCTTTCTGTTGGCTTTCTTGTTCTGATATTTAATATTTTAATAATGATAATATAATAGAAATAATTTTAATTAACAGAATAATTTTTTAAACATTTATAAGTTTGTATAATGTACTTTAGTAGAATACGTTAGCACACTGACCAGAAAGATCTGAGAGATTCTATGGTGTCCCAGTTTTTTTCAAGCAAACGTTGTCATTCTATTCTATAGATCAAAATAAGAAAAAAAATATATCATTGAAAGTATGATTAAAGAATTATAACGAAAAAAATGATATATCAAATGTATGAATAGATCAGGAATATCTACATCCAATAATAGCCAGAAGGTATCATAAAACTTTGATAACTTCAATTATAATTTCATTTTATGTTCACCATGCCATCATAAATACAAAATTGAATTTATTTTTTGAATCATTACTTTTGATCATTTTGATTTTGTTCCAATTGAGCATATTAACTGCTCATTTTATCTATCATTTTTTGTCATAACTGAACTGTGGATTTTGTGGGAAATTTGCATTTATGTAAAATGCACAAAACACGTAAAAATCATAAAATACTCAAAGCACAATTTTTTTAATAATATTTAATAGATGAAATATATCTCCATCTAGATTCTATTTCTTTATTTATTTTTCTAAGAGTATGAAATTGTACAAACATTCGCATAATCATGCTTTCATCTTTCATCTTTTATCAATAAACTCTTTAATGGCATATGTTTATATGACATTTATATATAGAAAAAAAAATTGACAACGTTTGATCGGAAAAAGCTAGGATCTCCTGTACATTGATTAAAACATTCTTATAATGCTTTATATTATTTAATTAATCAATATTTTAATACAACTTACAGAATCCTTGTCAATCATCGTATACCGGCCATGTACATAGTCTAAGTACCTTTTCATACTAAATTGTGGCCCAACGAGAAACGATCCTGGAAAATATGTAAATGCTGCAATCTCTAAAAACGTAGGTTGTTCTTTCAAGGCCACTTGTTTCTGCGATATAGACAACTTTTCCTGAAACAGTAATATCATTACTGGCTCCAAAAGGAAATTTCCTCTTGTCTTTTTTTTTTTTTTTTCTTAACGATTATATTTAACTTAAATTTTAGTTTATTATTAGTTTTCTTATTCATTCAATAATTAGAAATATCGTTGTATTAGAAATACTAGTTGTTGCTCTTATACATACTTCAGGTTTTTGACCGTCTAGTAAATTGAATGAGAGACCAATTAATCGCAGAGCTAATACGCACTGTGGCATAGTCCACTTTATATCATAGTCATCTGTACTTGTCATATAATATCCTGTCAACGACAAAAAACAAATATTATTTTTTAATGTATACTATATTACCATTTAACCACTACAAGAGGTGTTCTGTAATATGTGGAAATCATTTTAGAGAATTTAGAAGATAAAAAAAGTTTAAATGTGTTTTATTTATCCTTCTTTTCAAGTTATACATTTTTAATTTAATCCATTGTATTTTATCCTGTGGTTGAATAATTTCTGAAGAACAATATATACAAAGTATTAAAAAATACTACTTTTATAGATATTTTACTATCTACTTTTATATTTATTATTTTATGATATTATACTATAATATTATTTTAGTATAAGAACAATATATACAAAGTATTAAAAAATAAAACTCCAATACTACTTTTATAGATATTTTACTATCTACTATTATATTATAATATTATTTTATTATATTTATTATTTTATGATATTATACTATAATATTATTTTAGTAGGATTTTAGTAGGTATTTATTAAAAACACAATGAAAAATGTCTGATCAATATACATAGATACTAAAAGCAATTTCAATGAAAAATCAAATTTTATTATTTATTTAGTTCAGTACGATATGAATCACTTCGCAATACATTGAATGTCAATGAAAATAGCATAATGGGAAAATAGCATTATCCCAAATTGAAATAATTTTAGAATTAGCACGGAATTTGTAAGACGCAGAACAGCTCTGAATTTAGCAACATCAATCATTTCACAAATTGAAAATAAAATAATATGTTTACATGAAGTATTTTTATTTTTTATGTATATGTAATCCCTGAATTCCACATATTACAGAACATCTTGCATTCAGTAAATCTTTTTAACGTACATAGGACATAAATCCCGCGTTAAAATGCAAATGAGACTCGCAGTGTGAAAAATTAAACTTACATAAAGTCTCCTTTCAAAAATTAATATGTAATTATAATTTTCGAGCGACTTGAGAAACATCAAACACATTTGCATGTTATGCAAAATAAATCAAGCACCTGTAGCACCAAACAGGAGATAAATATATCTTTATCTTAACATATCTCTATCATGACGTTACCAATACGTTTAATCCTTTGTATCAAGTTAATTATGACATTTCTATTAAATTTTTGTATCAATATATAATTCTTAATATGTTGTAAACATAGAGAGAAGGAAAGCAAATTTTTTAACAATTTCATGTATACAGTAAAATTTTTCTTAATTAAGTCCCCATTTTTTATCTTAATTCTTTGAGTGCTAGATTATTGTTTACTTATCAAAAAGATTAACATGTTACAACATAATGAATAAATACATCAAAAAGTATATGTTTTGAGATAAATGTATTTTTAATTTGTTATGTATCTTTCGTTCAGTATTAAACCCTTGGGCTTTTGGACTTAATTAGACTTTTCAAATTTTTTTACAAATTACATTGCGAAGAGAGTATCTATTAGTAACAGATGAGCTTCTAGTTATTAACAGACATTTTGTTCTAATAACATAAGAATATCAAGATATTTGAAAAATAGAGATTTACATAAGAGAAGCTCTACTGTATTATGTTTAAAATAATAAGACGTAGTACTACACAAAGTAAGAACTTCAAAGCTGATTTTCCAACCGGAAGAGAATTTTATGATTGGAGGGGAATTCTCGACTATATTTATTGCTAGTCAATCGAGAAATTTGCATATATACAGAGAAGAAACAATATCGCAAATTTCTCATTAACTGTAATATTCATTAGAATTAAATGCATTTAAATAAGCTATTTAAGTATAAAATACTTAATACCATTGAATTTTTATTTAATAAAATAAATTTATATAAAATATCCTAAAATAGAAGATTTTTTGATTTGTTATTTGAAATGCAAAAATCTAATTATCATAAATATTCAATTTACATATTTCTTTGAGTACTGAGTACACCATGTTACATTAAAATAATAGCGTTAAAATCGTCAGAATATTAAGTATTAAAACAATAACTATATACTTTTGCATCTGTCAAATTTACTGTTACATACTGTGTATAGATTCTTCGTAAATAATTTTGCAGTCACGAGAACTTTTACTATGCACCATTTCATGTGAAACGGTAACATGTACAAAATAATAATTATCTGTATCTTTAAATTTTACGATCATATATTAATTTGTGATTCATATGAATTGCATTAGTTCCACGTAACCAATACAGTTTAACTATTGAATACATATGAAATTATCATTCTATTAATTATTTATTATATTAATACGTTTTATTATATTAATACGTTATTATATTAATACGTTTACCGCGAACTTGATTTCAACTGACTTTTTATTCAAACAGAATATATTATTTTAAATTAAAATGAACAATGATATAAATATATTAGGTTGTTAGATAATAATGTATATTATTATATTCCATAAAATGTCAGTCACCAATGATCAAAATCATGCGAAACATATCAAATTATTTGCCATTTTCATTAAAAAATTAACGATAATTTCAAAATATAATTAATAATAAGAAAATATTCATATTTAATATTTAAAAGTAATAGTTCGCATGATTTCAAAAAAATTTGCAAACATTGAAATTCTCTCAATAAAAGTAATCATATACAACGTGGTGAGTGTTTCCTACAAAATTCGTAGGTTTCTTCGCATGCTGTTGTTTCCTTATCAATTTAGACATTTTTTTTTTTATAAGTCGTACGAACTATTACATAATAATAAGTGATAATATGCTACAATTCTTTCTTACCACATAGGAGATAAGCCATATTGAAGATGAAAATAATAATAATAGACAAGGATGAACCACCAAGGCGTTTTAAGACGCGATAAGTAACGTACACTGTCGCTGCTGAATGGAGTATGTTAAGTCCTGTGAAAACAATTTTTGTATGAAAAATTAGATTTGTCGAACAGTTAATCAATTTATCTATTCTCACCGTTGAGTGAATGAAAAATTGTTTTAACATATTTATTAGAGCTCTTACTATTCTTTTGAAGTTTACGGATATCCGCATATTAAATGTCTGAATATTTGAATACTCACAAAATTTATATATGTGATATATCATAGAACTAGAATTTATATGTGCTTCATTGTTTAAACTAAATTAATTAAATGAATTTTTTTATTTTATTAAATTAATTAAATAAACTTGACTTGAATGAACTTATCTAAACCTGAACTTCTATTACATAAGCGAAAAATCATACTACATAAACTTTAATCACATAAATTATTCAAATTCATATAAGCAGAGTTCTACTGTATACAGACTCGAGACATAAATAATCAAATATTTTCTTATGTATCTATAAGTATCTGTACAAGTAATCTGTACACATTTAAATTAAATACACAATTAAATAATAAACATTATCTGTATATGATAATAAATAAATATGTTATATTTTAAATATATTTTTTCTCATGCAATGGATAGTTAATCATAATTGTTAAACCACTTGCTACGTTATTTAATTAAGATTACTCTCAAATATATAGTAATATTTACATATTTTACATATACATTCATAAGTTATAAAATATTTTTTATAACATATTTGAGTATATTGAGTATAACATATTGAGTATAACATTTTAACATATTTGAGTATAGTATATATTGCCCGAAAATAAATAATTACCAAACAAAATGTAATATTTAATATTTATAAGAACATTTCATATTTTTCAATACCATCTTTGAACAAACATTTGACTAGATACATTTATTTATGACTATACATAACATTTAAATATACATTCCTGTTCAGCAACTGAAGAGAAATGATGAAATAAAATAAACAATGGTAAATTCTCATTTTCAACAACATAATGTACTTCAATCTTAATGTGCTGCAATCTTTTATTTATTATGATCAGATGATATAATATTTTGACTTCAATGAAGATCATTTTTCAAAAGAAAATGATATAACTATACAACTTAATAATAGTGAAATTAATGGACAAAAAGTGTATTTTGACTTACATTGAAAACAGTAGCAGAAATGATATGGGTAACTCTAGTATCTTTATGAAATAGAGGACTTCTGGATTTTATCACAGTAGTTAATTTAAATTACAAAAAAGGAATTAACAAAAAAAAAAGATATAGAGTAAATTTAATACTGAGGCAACTGTGTCTCTAGTGCAGACTATTAATCCATATATCATATATCTTTTATGACAATTTGATACACTTTTGTTATAAAATATCATATTACACATATAATATATATTTTCAATATTTTCTAACATATAACATATAACGTATATTTTCGATAACAAAACGAGAGTTTTGATAACAAAATATGGTGTCAAAGTTGCAAATAACATTCATTTTCAAGTTTTTGGACAGATAGTAGTGTTGCCTACTATTATTATACCACTTCTGCATGTAGACTTATAATTTAATTGTAACATAATTGTAACTAATTTAAAATAAATGATTATAACGTTAGATAAAACTAAAGAATATAATATCATAATATAAAAATGATTTATACGGCTTAAAATGATTTATATGGCTTATAGTAGAATTTGTGAATGTTACACGCAGCTAAATTTCAATTTATTTTTATCAATAAAAAGCTTTATAAATTTAACTATTTATTTTTTTATTTTATATATTAACTTTTTGCCATTGTATCAATTTGATACCAAACAAATTAAGTTGGAAAAATGAGTTAACATCTTGATCTTAAAACTTATATTTAACTATTATGGTTACATTTTGACAATAAAAAAATTATATACTGATGAGTCCCCTTTGAAATATTTTCGAAACGATTAATTGCATCAAAAAATGTTTTAAATAAAAGATGAATAATTTCGAGAGGAGCATTAATTTATATATATATAATTTTTTTTTTGTTAATATTAAGTATAGTATAAATTAAATAAATTAATAATAATTAATAATAATACTTAAATAAATAATAATTAAATAAATAATAATTAAAATAAATTAATTTTTTTTGTTAATATATAAGTATAGAACAAAATATCAAATGTGTTGTTACATAATATTGAGCATTAATAATGAGTCATTCTCGGCATTTTTTTTTACTATAAGTATATTTGAAAAAATCTATTAAATCTTCCATGATTTACATACAGTTAATACAAAATTGTCCGACTTAATGATGCGGATAATATTGGACTCATCAAAAGAACATGTCTGTCAACAGGAAACAAGTAAATTTGTTTTTTCTGCGCCAAATTATTATCTTATATAACTGTAAATAAGACATTAACCTTTTAAGCATTATAACCTTTCACCACTGGCATTTATTCCGATTATATCCGTCGCTTCTTTGTTAACTGACAATTGCCTTTGCGATTTATAATAACTTTATAAGTGTAAACCAGCAGAATATATATTCATTCAAACAAAAGGAGATGAAAATTTCTTCGAAACAATGAAAATAGATAAACCCTTCTAGAATTTCATTCTGAATAATAATTCAAAAATATTTTATTGCTTTTTTTATTACAGAGGTTGATATGTATAAAATAATTGATTTGTATAATGCTAGAAAATAAAATTTGTTTGTTATACCTAAATTGTATATTAGTAAGTACATACATACATATAAATCACAAAAAAATAATAATGCTATTATAATTATTTAACTACAATATCCGGTTTGAATATGCAGTTTGAAATAAAAAATTCGTTGAAATAAAATTGCTTCATTGATATGGAACATACAACTGCAGAGGTCGTATATATATATATATTACTTTAATTATTTCAGTTAAACTAAATACTTCAACTACATATAGCTATTAATATTTGAATTGTCATGATAAAATTTTCGATAGCAACTACTAGATATACACAAATTTTGATTCTGATTTGAATTCCGAGTTATAATTAACAATTTAAATACACACTTTAACAGTAAGAGCTCCTGCATTATTTAAAATTTAAATAGTTTTTAAATTGATTTACCATTCAGTTATCATTGGTTAATTAACATATTTGAATAAATTATAAAGTAAAAAAACAATAATTACACAAACTTTCAAGTCATTTCCTCGAATCATTTAAATATCACTGTGTGAAGAATAATTACCATAATTCCATAAGCAAATCAAAACGCCACAAGTTGCGAAAAATATATGTTGACAAACTGGACATTTTCCGTATAAAATATATCTGTGAAGAAGAGCGATCGGTAATCCTGAAAATTCAATTACAATTGTATTATTCTTCAGTTTCATCAAGTTTAAAAATATTTCATTTTACATACGTTTTGTAAGTGAATATTTACTTTTAACTGTTGATATTAAGTATACATAATACATACATGAGACACTCTCTTATTTGACATTGGTTTAAAATGGTCAACCAGTTGTTGAATTTTTTGATGTAACAACGTAACCAACTCATGTCAATTACATCGAAAACAAATATATTGGCAAAATCTGTTTCTATAAATAGTTAACAAAATGCACAGTAGCAATTTCCAATAATGAGTTATTCATTAGTAATAAAATTTAAGAGTGAAAAAAAATTACAAAATATTCTTTTACTAAATTTAAAAAAAAAATGCTTATCTTTAGACCATTAAAAATATTTGATATTCTATTCAAATAGATGGTGGAGCTGTAGAAATACAAAAAAAACCCTCATATGTCAATACCTTTTTGATTCTCGAATTTTTATATTACTCGTATTGGTATTGTATAATTCATTATTGGAAATTGCTATTCTCTTGTATGTAGTGAACATATAATTATTAACATTGTTAATGTATTATTTGTTTTCACAAAAATAGAAAAAAAAGTGCCAATAATAAATAATATTAAATTATATAATAAATTTTTTGATCTATTATATGTTTACAATACAAACATTCTTCACGTGTTTTTATATATAGATATATTTATTTCAAACATTGTTCACTAGATCTATTCATCTATGTATGAATGGTACTATTCAATTAATCAGCTATTCGTTTATCTGACTGGTTCCATAATGGACGGTTAAGAGAGTGTCTACTAGTTTGTTCATCAATTTTCAAATTAATCATATTAATAACATTCTCATGTGTTGTTTGATTATAATCATATACAGTTTTTAAAAAAATAATAATAAAAAAGTATCATTTAATTAAAATTTAAATATTAATATTTATATCTAATTGCGTAAACGTAAAACAAAGAAAATAATTCATAATTCATAAAAAAACATTGAACTTGATATTACAAACATCGCATTTACTTTGCAATTTTTTCATGAACTCATGCTAAATAGTACAAATAAAAATAAATACTTGATAGAAAAAAAAATAAATAAAAAAATATAATAGGATAAAAATAGAATTACTAATAAAGTAAATAATTAAATATTTTTATTCTTACAAAAACAATATAAATGATAAGAAATGTTATTTCTTATTTTAAAAAGTATTATTGACATTAATTTTGTTAATTTACGAAAATAGATATGGTGCAGGCATGTGGAATGGTAAACATACATTACATAACCTTCAAAATATTCTGAAACTAAGAAAACATTTCGAATTCTAAAGTTGAAAATTAAAATTTAAAAAAGATATATACAAGGAATTATAATACATAACAAATAAATTAAAATGTAGACCGATTATGCAATCAGTGATGTAATAAAATTAAATGAATTTAGATCATAGATAATGTACGTATATGTACGCGTATGTAAAAAAGTTTATTAATTTTAAATAGACGAAACCATAAAAGAGGACATCGTTGTTTTAAATTACCAAGTAATATGGAGATAAGAAGACGAAGCGCAGCTTCAGATGCATTTAAACTTTCCGAGATATTTAACAATATACTATTCGACATTGTTGATTCTTTTAAAATAGCCTTTTATTTTGTTACGTTAACTTCTTAAATTAGTCCCATATTATTATTAAATTCGTTTCTATCAATGATACTTCAGGACAAAATTTGATTTACATTCTGTAGTGATATCACCTATCACTTATAAGGTTAGAAAAGATCGATACTACGAAAGTCACGTAAAGTAACAATGGAAACTGCACAACTGTAACAATGTGAAAGTGTTCTGAAACCCATTAAATTAAGCTCGTGAAAAGTAAGATCATCCAAAAAAAAGAGTATAAAAAAGAAAATTACATGTCATGCAGATAATTTAAACAGATAATTGAAACAAAATGATCATTCAATTTGTTACAAAAAAATTGAGAAAATTATTAGAACAAAATATTTCATATACATTTCAGAACACTTCATAAAAATTTCATATTGTATAATTACTTTATTTATTTAATAGTTGCAAGAATGTACTTTTTTATTTCTATTTCTTTATGTTGAATTTTATTTAAAATATTAATTAATGATAATATAAATAATTACACTTAACAATACATACTTTAAAATCTTCAAGTTAAAAATTTCTTCTTAATGCAATTAATCGTTAATTGTCAAATAAATCGTTAAAAGCGTCGTTTAAAAAACTAAACCAAAAACTTAGTCTTTTAAAAAGATTAAAGGATTTACTTATCAATTAATATTGTTTAAAATTATAGTAATATAGGTATTTAAATTCATACAAATTATTTATACAGCATAAAGATGGCCACAATTTTTTAAACGGTTTCAACAATTGCGCAAAAGTTAATTACTAGCGAATAAACGATAAATCAGAATACAAGAAATATCAAAAATATTTTTTCAATGAAAAAGCTTGGATTACTTTTTACTTTTTTAAATACTATTACGTAATTGTTTGTATCAGATGTTATGAATGCTATTAAAGCAAATTCAATAATATTAAATTAGATCATCTTTTCTAATAATTTGGAATTTCATTCATTTCAAGAGTATTTTGTTAATGCTAAAGTTACATACAAACATACAAAATAATCTCGCTAGTATATACAACTAATATAATTAATAACTCAAAGCAAATCATTCTTGTTTTTATTTTACATATGCATACATACATTGTATATACATTTGCGTATGCGTACCCAAATATCAATTATTGGCAACAGATAAAAATTTGGCCTTATCATTGTGTTTGGCAACTTTAGAACACCACAGTTCTACTTCACCTTTAATTGTAATAATTAGTATTCTTATATATTCATAATACTTATTATGAAGTATTTTGAATATAAATATGATGAACAAGAAATATGTTTACAGTTTACTGTTATGTTCAGCATGTATGTAAATACATAACACCCAGTGTTTGAATAGCATATCATTTTCCATAATATAGAATTCTATCCTATTCATTGAATTTCAACGCGTAGAAGCAAATAAACTTTAGGATATCACAGTGTGTATGTCTTCATTTTCAATTGTAATAATTAATGTTCTTACATATTCACAATACTTATTACGATATTATGAATAAGAAATTTTTAGTTTATGTTCAGCAACAAAGTATCATTCAATTATGTTACACATTGATAAATAACTTTATTACATTTTAGACCATTTTAAACATAATAGTTTAAAAAAGCAACTTAATTTGATATTATTTATGTTTTATTTAAAAATTTATTTTGCAATTTATTATTAGTTCAATGATAAACTTTTATTTAAAATGAACATTTTGTCAGGCAATCACAAGTCTAATGAATCTAACGATAATTACATATTCATAATAAATTAAGTTGAGAAAAGGAAATAGAAATAATATCTCATCAATGTATCATGGTAATAAATAATTCTTTAATAATTTAACTCATGTCACACTATACATTGTCATAATCGCAATATAAAACATATCGTAGGATTCGTTGAGTGGCAGTTTCCAACAACAAACATACTTCCGTCGAACCGACTTCTAGTATTAGGAAAATCGAAATTAACTAACCCTTCGCAATCTGGCTACGTATTAACGCAACATCGTATGATAGTAGCTACCACTTCATCGTCAATAAGAACTAAATGTTCACACTATAGAACATCTTAAATTTATATATAGGTAACTATAAATTAATTTTACATTGTTATCGACAATTTATGATATAAGTATAATTGGCAATTAGCACAAAAAGTGATTTTTTTTTTATATGAAGCTTTTCTCCTGAAATGATCTACGAAGGGTAAATACATCGACAATTTAAAATCATATCTCTAATATAGAGACAATGAAAAAAATTCTTATATTAATTTATACGGGGTGATAGACTACTAGTTGTACGGAAAAATGCAGCATCATGATTATGAAGTTTCAAGTGATGCAAATTCGTTCCAATAATTTTATCTAAAGAGGCACAGTTTGGAGACACCCTGTATAATATTTTTTTATTAGAAAAATTGTTTACCTCGAAAATGTCGCCTGATTTTTATTTAGAAAAATATATCAATCCTGATTTTGCGTAACAATCGACATTTATATCGTATTCGTTATTGTTCGTACATGTACAAAGATTCTTTTACATACGCACATACATACACATACATATGAGCGCGCGCACCACATATATTTAGAGAAATTAAATTAATTTAATGTTTGATTTTTTTGTCAAGTTCAACTCTTCGTTTCAAATATTATTTTATATAAAATAGGTATATGATCTTTATTTGAAAAATTGGAAATAACGTTACTTTTATTACTCTTAATTGCACTTTGCATATTATAGTATATGATTATAATATAATATATAATATATATAACATAAATGTGGGTGTGTTATAACATATTTTTTTGAAATTTTTAAACAAACAAGTATTTTAATAAAAAATTCAAGTTTATTATATTTATTAATAAAGTGCTTCAAATTTTCGATATTATTGTTCTTGAAAAACGAAGAGTCAAATCGACACTTTAAAGTCTAATACTGCCATATGATTTCTTCGTTGAATCTGATTTAATATCATTCTTGCTATTCTTAATCAGTTTGAAACAATGATTTTCAGGTTTCCGAAAGTCTAAAAACTTACAATATTAAAAAACGCTGCCAATCATTGTTCAAAAAATATCAAAGCCGACCGAGTTCTATATAAAATTTAAACATTAATTTTAAATAAATATATCATACATTTTTTACAATATTTATCATGATACAATTTTTATCATTATTTGATTACGTAATTTTCTATTACGTATTTTTCTATTATCTCATTATGTTATTATAAAATTTGATCCACGTTTATAATTATATCTTTCTTCAGAATTTTATCAAATCTTATAATCAGACAGGATTTCAGATCTAAGAACTTAGAAACGAATATAATTTTATTCGATTATTTCTGAAAAGAAATTTGATTGGTCCGAGCAGGGTATGTAAATGGTACCCTGTCTTCCAAGAAAATTTCAAATAAGAAAAAACTCGGTCGTACAATCAATCTTATAATATTATGCTCTTTACTGACTATGAACAAAATTATACACTTTCGCTTAACTTTCAAATTTGTTGATTACTTTAACAATTATTCTTTTAATAAAATATAAGGAGCTATTTTTAATTGTTTAATTTACGAAAGTGTAACTTTCAATATCTCACTAGTTCAACTGTATATTTCATATTACTTCACAAATTCTGATATAAATCGCTAAATGTATAAAAATAATGATATTTTACAGTTTTTCTGGTTTTTGGAATTAATATAATAAAATTTTTATTATTTTATAATTTACAGTATAATATAATTTTTATAATTTATAATATGATGAATTTAAATAAGATTTATAAATTAAATTATTTCATTAATTTTATTTGTTGTTAAAAATTAGAGAAATTGAAATAACAATTTTACTAGAATTCATTTAAATTTATCAGTTCATAAGTTCACTTTGTATATTTTTTACTTAACATTAAATTTACTTAATATTAAGTATAGTATAGTATACAAATTTTATAAAATTTTGTGAAATACTGACAAAGAAAATCCAAAAATCAGAAAAACCTTATGCATTATTTTTCAAAGACTGTATGGATATTCTGCTAGGTAATTTCTAATTAATGGTGGCAAATGTTTAGTGGGTAATTTACTCCTATTAACAACTAACCTGGCCAAGTGACTAAGGGACCTAACTCCTTTAACTAAAGGTTTTGTCAAATAAATTTCACTATAAAGTTGTCCACTATAATCTACCCAAACTTCTTTTCTATGTTCATCGACACTTTTGGAATATTCTACATAATATTCCAGCATCTTAATTGGACAATCAAAAAGTGGAATCGCAAAAGCAAGTCTAGGTTCAGCATCTAATCGAAACTGTCCCAGAAAATAGTGAACTCTAACAGAAGTAGGACCTCTAGCAGTCTGCACAGACACAGCAAACATATATCTGCTATCTGAACTATCTCTCATTAACCATCGACCAACTGCAGCATTTTTTAATAAATTTTCACTTTGCTGCCAACTAAGACCCTCATGATACCAACCACAAGTTTGTAAAAGTCTTTTAACTTCACTCAGTCTAGCTGCATTCCTGTCTATCATGTAATTATCAAAACTCCAAGGACATGGCATTAACCAAGACACTGGCGTAGTCGGAGATCTATCTCGTCTGTCATCAAAATTTTCTTCATTATTCTGTATGTCGTTCTTCTGCACTAAACCTCCACCATTAAAATTATTTCTAGTTCTTGAAGTTATACCCGCCAAAGAATCAGGTGAATTTGTAGTAGTTGCAGTTATATTCACTGTACATTGTCCTAAACTTGCAGGAAGCTGTACAGTCGCATTTACTTGAATCTGTACTCCTGGATTTTGGTCTAAAGCCATGGAGTTATGATTTTTAGAAACTTGATTGTTATTTGACTTGACATGATAAAGTTTCTGAACATTATTACAACAGCAATTAAAATCTCGATCCTGATCAAATTCTTGTTCGTCCTTTTTAGAATTTTTAGCCTGTTGAAATTGCATGGCTGGCAACACATTAGTCACTTTAAAGTTAGAAAAAACTGATTTTTCCTCACAATTTTCAAATGAAGTTCCTTCTTCTAGTTTTTGTGATAAAGTACTTCTTCGAGTCCCTGGTAATTCCTGGCAGCCACTTGGAGGTATTAAAAACATCCTTTTATCATGAGTCATACTTTCTTGTTGATTTCTTTGTTCATGAAATGTATTAGAAGCTTCGTGATTTTCAGCTGATGTTGGCTTTTGCATAAAACATCCACCACCAGACAATTTTGGGCGAATTTCCATGTGTGGTGTTTGCATAAAATTGCCAGAATCTGTACTCTGAATTAAACAGCCTCCAGATTGTATACTCGGTGTTGTTATTGTCACACTTCCTCCAGTTAAATCACAGCTTGTGGTGATTTGACACCCAGAACCTTGATTTTTTTGTATTTCTTCATTAAATAATGGAAATCCAAGAACTTGTGTATTCTTTTTAAACTTTTGAAGGGTACTTTCCTTTTGTTTATCAATTCTTGACTTTTCCAAATCAAGTGCCATTGAAGGATAGTTGAAGGTATTGATAACAGGTTGAATAATAGTTGGTGCATTTATAAAACAACCACCACCACTAGTATAGCGCTTAGGAACTAATAGGCCACCATAATAACAGGTTGTTGGATGAATTAGAGTATTATCTTTATCCATATTTCGAGGTTCGCAACAACCTGAAGCTGGAAATCGGTGACGACAGTTTGGACACATTACTGTCAACATCTTTTGTGAAAGTACTTTATTTCCAGCATAACAATCTTATATCTGTAAACAAAAAACAAAATTATTTTTTATCTTTTCATGAAACTAGCATATATAGTGCAAAAAATATTCAAATATTTTCAAATATTTTTGAATTATGAATTTTCAAATATGAAGAAGCATATAATGAATATTCAATTTTATATATAAAAAACATTTTTTAAATAAATTTCTAATTATATCTAAAATAAGTTTAAAATATAGTGAAAAAGAAATTATTATTAAAATTAACAAAGTACGTAATTGTAATTATTTTACAAATACTACTTGAGAAAATCTATTATTGTAAATTTAAAACAATTATCTAAAATAAAATACTCAATACCAAATAACTTTTTCTGAAATCACACTTTTATTAATTAATGTAAAAATGCATTAATTGTAAATATACTGCGTTTGTTTAATGGCATAACTTTATATAAAATACAGAAGCATAATATATTACGATATTGCTTATAACTCATACAATAAAAAAAGTATTAGCCGTATGAAAATGTTAATAATAAAAATAAAAAGTATTAGAGAAAAAAATACAGCAAATTAATTCAAGATGAATTTACATTTTTATAAAATTATACAATACTTTATACTTTAATCGTTCACTATACACGATTATTTATAAGTGACTGGCATAATTTACGTAATTGACCGCATTGCGTAAGTTATTTTCCATGAAAATCTGTTCCAACTAAAAATACTACATGCCTCTGTAATTTTGTTTTTCTCATTATTTTACTTGAACGTGACAAATCTTGATTATATTAAATTCAAATAGTATCTTAAGCCTTGATTTTCGACCTTTTAAATTTACATTTTGTTTTTCTTTCGGCTGAATTTCGATTTTAAATTTGTTAATTTCTAGATTATAATTCTATCACGCGATAAAAATAAATTCAAATATATTTTCAATGAATCATTGCTTATGCAAAGGGATAATTTATTTTTGACTATACCGTTTCTCTGTTTCACAGAGTTTCAAAATTCAAATTTTGATCCTTTCACAAGACGGAAGAAAAATTACATTAAATAATCATTTTGATACATCGTAATCGAGTCATAAAATAATTATACACTACGTGCAGCTGCCTTCTCGTTCTAAGAATAAAACGTTTCGCGTTCAACCCGTGTTCTTGCAAGGTTGATCAACAGATGTAAAAAAAAAAGAAAAAAAAAAAAAACAGTGAATAATTGTGCGTTGCGTAGTAAACAAAGGAATTCCAATGAAATCGGATTATTTCCATTTCTCGGAAGGTTCTTAATTAATGATATTTAAGAAATTCTGGAAATCGCAGTTTGAAATTTGATGAGTCGTTGTTCGTTTGATGAATGCATCACATTATGCACCCATCGAATGTATTTGAACGATATTAATATGGTTATAAAATGGAACAGAATGTGAGACAACTATGAAACGCAAAACGAAAAAAAAAAAAAAAATGCAAAAAATTTGTCTAATGAATATAAATCGACTGTTCATATTTCCCTACCAACTGGGATCGGCCGAGTCACTCGTTGATACAAGAGTCCGTTAACCTTCAGTCGGTATCTCGCTGGGGTTATTTAAATAATCGAAACGTCAGCCGCATACGCGACTTCCACATATGACTTCACGATTCATAATTTAAGACCAGGTGTCGCGTTCTCCCGTGATCCCGACAGGAATAGAGACGCATCTTTCGACATCGTCTGCGCGCACCGCAGCTGCCTTCTTTTCCCCATTGTGTTTTAATGGGCCACGTGGCAGAGTGATGTCCGAGTGTTAGTAAAGCGGCACGGAGCCGCTTTTCCACGAACATGTCGCAACGCTAGAAGGCCAAGCCCCCATTTAGAAGTTGTTCTTGGCCTCTCCAACGCCCCACCACTGCCCACCCTCTCTTTCCCCACCACTGGCGCCGACCAACTGACAATCGCCCTCTCTTCTCCTCTTTTACCGCGCATCACACACTAACTACTGGCTTCCTTATATCAATCGTATTCAGAGCTTTTTCTAAATATTTGTCCGTTTCAAACCGAGATAAACTCCATGTTTCCAATTGAAAGATGATAAAAATATACTGTGTATCGGTATTCGTTTAACTTCGAAGGACAAGTGTAGTCAAATTTGTTAGAAATATTTTAAATTTTAAACATTTTTTTAAATTTGTACAAATGTTTAATCGAAATATCTCTAATAATTTTGCCAGTTTTCTACGTTAAGAAAAAAAAAAAAAAATGAAAATTTCATATGATCTGATTATTTTCTGACCTCATGCGTGTACTCATTTCCAAATATTCAGTGTTTCTTACGAACGCCAATGAATGTTATAGCGAACGTCGGAAGTGCCGCGAAAAAAGAATCAATGTTTTTCTTGTAACGCAATATTCCAGCGAACAGAACACTTTCGCCAGAATTGTCGTGTCACGATTAACAAACCTGCAGTTACAATAAATATTCATCGTTCCGAATAAAAGAAACGAGTGCCGGTGCCGATTTCGAGAAACGATTTCACGATCACGTCATCGGCAAATTAGTATTATCCGGAATCCCATAATCGGTTCTGGCCAAAAGCCTCTTCACATGTTTACCAACCCCCCTTTTTGCACACGTTATCGATAAGCAAAATTACAATGTAAATGTAACTATTTGAGTCAATAACGATAATCAGCACGATAACGTTTTCCTTGAATGTACAATTCTAAACATAAGATCAATTATATCGGGAACAATACAGATATACGAATGAAAATACTTTTGTAAAATAATAAGGAATATAAAATATGTGCATGTGTTATCTCTCAAGTACGATTCAACGCATTAAAAATCACTTTCTTATTTATTTAAGATACTATCGATTTTTCTCAGTAATGGTAGATTTCACGGAATAAGACTGATTGTAAATTATACATCTAAAGTAAGCGTACGTTATTCATACAATATTAATATCATATATTTTATATGTATTTCTAATATGAATCTTGTTAGGCTGTTTAATATCAACATGATAAATGTTAAAAAAAAAAAATGTAATTTTTCGTACATTATACATTTGCAAAAGATCAGGTTAAACAATTCAGTTCCTTATCTTGATTAAATTTTGAACTCACAATTTTTGCAAATTATTTGTTAAATAAAACTATGAAATGAAATCGAAGAATTGTTTCATTTCATGACGCAAGCCGACTTCCTTATCGAGTTTTCCTTGAAATAATAATCGTCAATTGATGACACGTACACGATGATATCGAAATTGCATATATATGGTATTGAAATATACAGCAATCTTACGAAAGTGTTCATTGCATATTCAAGTATTGTCACGCAACATCTAATTCGGAATTCTAAAGTTTTGGAATATGTTTATTTAAAAATTGTTATTAAACTGTGTTCTCTCTTTTCAATTTTTTACACTTAGTTTAATACACTTTTCTTTTAAGAACAAAAAAATATATATATAAATTCGATCAAGTTAAAATTCGATTGAAAATAAAATCTTTATAATTATTTTTAATTATATAGTTAATTTTAGGCAACGCAAATTTATTTCAAATCATGTTCAATTATCTAAGGCGATATATCTGACGAAGCAATTTGAAGATATTTTCAAAAATAATAATCAAAGAATAATAACATTAATATTTTGTATGGATATATATATATTTTATATAGCTGAATAAATAAAATACAGAAAATGAAATACAGTTCATATATTAATTTTTGTCAATATATTATATCGTTCACAAATAAAGTAATATTCCAATATCCACCAATAAACATATAAGAACATATTTTATTAAAACAGGACACGTGTCGTACATGATAGAATATATTCAATTATTATATTCTCAGTATACATGTAAAAACATGACACTCTAGCTGGAAAAGCTCAAAAAAAAAAAAAAAAAAA